ATAATTTTAACTATCAACTTATAACCTCATTATACACAATTTATATGATGCATAAAAGCTTGTCATGATGATCAATATTTAATTAAATTGTAATTTTAACAATTTTATCTCAGCAGATTTTACATAATTAAATAAGTACTAGTTCATTCACACAAGTGAATCGTGCGACAAACTTTTATGATCATATAAATTGTGTATAATGAGGTTATAAGTTAAAATTATTAAGAAAAATTTTTATTTTCTTCTTTTAAGAGCGTTTAAATAAAATCTTTTTATTAAAAAGTTTTTTTTTTACTTTCAATTTATTATGAATTGTGATAACGTCGCTATGTTATAGCCGTAAATCTTATTTTAATCCCTATATTTTTTCCATGGTGCAGCTAGATAATACATCTTAGGATCTGAGCCTTTTTAGGGTTTAAATTTAATGTATTTATTTGAATAACATCCTGTATGCAATTCATAATGTTTGGTTTTCTAGGATGGAATGTTAAATTGATTTATATTTGTTCAGATATCTGTTTGTAAATGTCACAGAATACCAACTACTGTGTGGGTGATGTTAGGTCATTAGCAGTATCAAATTGTTATTATTAAAGTAAAGATTCGAAACATGGTCATGGGAATGAACATAATCAATACTGAAATAATTTTCAAACTGACATCTGATAGAAAATCCGAGAAAACACTTTTTTTTATAACAAAACCTGAATCATTAGTCGTTGCAGGACTTCAAAAGCTTGAAGCTACTATTCAAAGATCAAAATCTCATGGAATCATGGAAACATATATGCAGGGCCATGTGATATTTTAATTTTTTTTGTTTTGTTTTTCAAGTTTTGTCAATGAGTTCTGTAAGTAATCAGAAACGCCTAATAGCCCCAATCATAAATATTGAGTCATTGTATCAAATATCAATTGATTATTCTGAAAATTTTAAGAGAAATCTGAGGAGAAAACTTGAAAGAAAACATTGAAAAAATCTCAAACTCCGGCTCCCTATTTATAGGAAACCAAGCTCCCATGCATATTATGTTCAAATGGAATTTTCATTTTGAAAATAATTGTGTCCTTCAAGCTGTTAAAGTGCTATTACAAAAAAACGTTCCAACTTTTTCACAGAAAAAAAGTTATAATATTTAAAATATCATAGTGGGATTTATCTGTTTTTCTCATAAGTTACACTAATGTAGCATGTCTTATAAATACCTCAAATATTTTGAAATATTGTTATCAGTAAAACCATGTCATCCCTATTTGTTTAAGACAAAAGTTATAAAACCTTATCAAAAAAATGTAATCAATATCCTATGTACTACACCTTAGATAGTTTTGAGGACAGCCTTAGCTTACACTAGAGTGTCTTAATCATTTTGAGAATGTCAAATGTTATAGACAGGGTAGCTTACACCATCATATTCAGATCATTGTCGTTCTGGATGACAACCTAGTTAGGTAGTTAGTAGGCAGGAGCTATAATATTGTCTGTTCATTGAAAAGACAAATGAAGAAAATATGTAGTTCAGAGACATCTACGTGAATTAAGTAAACTAAGTTATTCATTTTTTATTCCTAACCGTAACATTTTTTATGGTCCTGTCAAGTTTGTAAATAAAAATCTGTCATGTGGAATCCCGAAAATGAAACATTATCACGAAGGATATTATCAAGTATGAAAACCATCTACCTATACTTGAATGGAAGCAGGAAGATGTTTAGGCAATGCTGTATTAGTATGATTCATGATGTAACTTGAAATTGAGTTGGAACTGTGGAAACTTCGGAAACTCAATAGTGCTATTACACTTTTTCGACATGCAAGCCAAGCAGAAAGGTAGGGGCTGCTTATTTCCTTCTATATTTTTGACAAGTTACTATATAATTCATGAAATTCCATTATTTGCAGTGAACACATGTCTTTAGTGATGTAAATCGGAATCACTATATACTTGAAAATTTCAGGTACCTACCTACAGCGAAGAGTACTTACATTAATAGCTTTTCAGTTGAAAAACGAAAAACTATGAGTGATGTGGAAGTAGGTATCACATTAGATATTATGTGAGTAATGTTCAGAAGGAATGTACCAGAAGGATATGATGATGTTCGAGAACAGAATGGAAAATTTACCATCTGAAATAAATATATAGAAGCACTAAGGTTAGACTCAATCTGGTTATTTCATCAATGTCTTATGGATATTCTGCTCCAAACACAAAATATCATTTTATTTTTTATAGATAGGTACCTCCTCGGAAGTCGAGCTGCAAAAATATCCAGTTCACAAGATTTTATGAAAAAACACACAAGAAAATGGGGCAGTGAATAAAATCAGAAACTTTTCATCCTGTAGTTCGATGAGCTGAATCCAGATAAGCAGTGAGAACAACGATTTGTTTGCTGGAAATTGCCAGTCCCCAGCATTTCATTCTAGGCTGCAAATTATACACACCCCAATGTATATTCAATTCATCTATTTTTCAAGCAATCAATTAGATGATGAGGAACATGATTGTGATATTCCACTCCAGTACACTCAGGACCATTTTTTTAGTGAGCCAGGAGCCACTCAGAATTTCACTAGAGTAAAGTGATTTCAAGATATAGGAATCATCCTCAGATATATGGTATTCTATTGTTCAGGGTTCTTTGTCAAGATGCTGGGATATTTAGAATTTTTTATTGGAATATAACTTGTATGTATGAATGGCAATACAATTTTTTTAATAAATTGTACATAATTATGAAGAATTATTTCAATTTTTATTCTACTATATAGTTAATTTGTTCTCTTCTGATACCCTGTTTATTGTTGTACAGATGTCGTATTGGCAGGTAAGTTTGAAAACACTATATATATTGTACCAATATTGTATAAAGGTAAAGTATTTTTGAAGTAAAACAATGATTATTTTTTATTAAATCATCTTATTGAAGCTACGAACTTCACTAAATATGAGAAGATGTGTCTATTATTGCCACAAATCAACCCACAGGAATATTCAATACCAATATGTATATTTTTAATTTATATTCAAGTCAACATTTTGAATGAACTTTATTATTATTTATTATCATTCTATAATATCTGTTCAAATGCCCGTTTCCTCCTCAGATGCTTCTTCATCGTCAGGTCGTGTTCCTTAAGGCAAGAATTCCTCTTCAGCATCATATTCCAAACAACATTGATGAGTCTGAAAATATAAAAATATTGTCCCTAGTTTCAATGTCCTGTACCATTCTGAAATGAATTTAATGCCTTTTGACTATGGAACAACTTTTAGAGGAATCAAAGTTCTTGGTAAATTTCATACCGAAACTAATAATTAGTTAGTTAGTATAGGTACAAACTTGTTAAATACCATTTTATTTATATATTTCTACCTTGAACAAACTTGGAACCGTACTCTCTTTCCAAAATCGTTTCCTATATTCCTATATATGTGGAAACATGTTCGCTTACTTCAAAAACTCACATTCCTGAAATATAAATATCATTAAGTTTCAAATATTATGCGATTCAAGAAAAAAAGTTCACCTTGATATCCAATGAATATGGCGTGAACCCATTGATGCCTCAGGATTTGAGGCTCAAATTCACAACAATGGGGATTGGAGAAACCATGTCTTGATAATTCAATTACACCTTCACCTTCTGGAGTGCGCAGTTTTCAGATGACATTGCAAAATAACACAATCGCACTCACAAATCAATCAACAAACTTCAATAGGAAACAAATACTAGAAGAAATAATTAGGAATAATTGTAATTTTCAAGGATACGAATTCAAAGTTCAACATATTCACAAAAACGAAGTAATAAGTTAATGACAACTGTCAGAAAATAATTTTTTGATTATGACATCTTAATCTCATGAAAGAATCTTCTTCATCGCCTTTGTATCAAATATCACGTCAATGATGGAAAGCACGTCTGTGGTTGAGTACATATTGGAGAAAAATAGAAGAAGAGAATATCAACCTAATATGGTCTATTTTGACATAAACAAATGAGCTCTTTCCAATTTCTCTGCCTCAGCGCCACTTGACAGACAGACATATTTTGATTGAATGAACAGACAATATTATACCTCCTCGCACTAGGTCGCCTACTAGGTTTTCATTTAGATCCACAATGTTCAGATGTTTGCAAATTTTGATCAAATAATATTCTACAAATCTACAAAGAAATGGGTTGTTCTCCTGTTCTACTAAATTCAACATTGGAAAAAATGTTATGGTTCCAAATGTTTGAACCTATATGAACTTAGTAGGTAGGTACCTAAATTTTCATTATTCTATTCTCTCAAGGAGATACAATTTGATATGCTATAAATAATTTTTTATTTGGGAAACAGTAGACTAATAATATTTCAAAAAGTTCACCAGTAGTCAACCTTATAAACAGTTCCAAAGATTTTGATAGTATACCCATTGGCATACTGAATGACAACCTAGTGTGGTAGTTATAGCTGAGTTAGCTGAGAGCTATTCTACCTCCTGGAGTACTAAGTTGCCTACTAGGTTTCCATTTAGATGGACAATGGTATGCCTATAGGTAAAAGTTATACAGTACTCAAAATTGTAAATCTGATCTAAAACCTTAGGTAGGCACCTACCTCACCTTATAGCTTGCCTTTTATACCTATCTACCAATAAGTATATCTAATTCAGATACTCAAGCTTTTGGAACTATAATATAAAGGTTGTTTATAGACCTGTTCATTAGTGTTTGCTCTACCTGCTAAACTTGATTTTTTCTATGACTTTCTCTGTTTACATTATGCCATGAACAGAGACAACTATGGAAACGAAATCAACTTTAGCAAGTCCAACAACATAAATGAACAGACCTCGACCTCATCAAATACAATAACAATAACATAAATAACTGTGATGAGTGTGATGATACTAAATAGACTAGTGAGAGTTCCCATAAGTATCAAGTACTAAAAGTATGTTTAGTATGGTACACATTTGGTAGCAGTAAAAATACATACCCTTCTATATGAATAAAGTTCCTTTTGTAATTTCTGTCGCTCGGCCGTTTGGTGCGGCCCCTTAGCTTTAATAAACTTAAACATATTTCCAGAGAATTTGAGGTCTTATGGCTGAAACAAATAAGAATATACAATTACTTTGTTTCATCTACTAGGCAATAAAAAAATCAAACTGCTAGACTCGCATACTTGATTCGAGAAGAGGAACATATTTATAAAATAATGTCAAAACAAAACTACAGAATGCATTTTTATGTCAAGTTAAGACAACGCCTGCTCGAATACAGCACAATGAAAAATCTAGAAACTACAAACCACCTTGTGGTATAATTTTTCCATATTGTATTTGAATGTTATTCATAAGACTTACTTCATACGATAAATTCCAATTCAAAATATGATAAACATGAATAATAAAACCTGCCCACTTTACATGAGCGTGCCCAAACACTATAACTTCATTACACGTAGATAGATTGTTGGTCACTGACCGACGACCGCCGACCGGTGGAAATGAAAAATCAAGAAAATAGGTCTGTTCGTTTGTTTTGCTGAACTTGCTAAGTTGATTTTGTTCCCTAGTTGTCTCCGTTCATGGCATAATGTAAACAGAGAAAGTCATAGAAAAAAATCAAGTTTAGCACTTCAGCAGGTCTAAACTTTTCGTACAAGATTTCGTTTGGAAAAAGTAACAGATTTAAATCAGAAGGTAATAGAAGGGAAAAGCCTGACATTTGACATTATACAAGTCATTCTTGTCAAAACCTTGAAATATTTTCGACAAAAATGATAAAATGTCAAATGTCAGGCTATTATCAAGGACGAATGAAAGCAAAGTCACAAAGCACAAAGGGTGAAGTCACAGAACTAATGATATCGCTGAACACAGAACTAGATTTAACGATGATTCGCTTGCACTTTCTGACATTTGTCTAGTCATAAATGAAATCAAGACATCACATTTTGAATCAACAGCGAAAATAATAATATATTCATAACAAAACGTAAAAACGTAACGAACTCCACGAAATAGTAATAGATCTATTACAAAAAAAATGACTAGAACAAAACAACACTGAAACAAAGTAGGCGGAGTTCAACTAAAGGTGAGTTCGCAATGCAGCTTTCTTGCTTTTCGCGTCACGCGTCACGCAGTCTGATTGGTGACGCGTGGATCAGAATTGCTGCACTGTTTCTTATATTATTTTCTTCAGTTCCCAATGAAACTACTTATCATTCTCGATTAAGTTGAAGTTTGCATTGAAAAATCATGGAAAAATCATGAAAATATCTGAGAATACAGTAATGATATAGTATAATGCTTCCAAGATATACATATTGAATATTGTAATATGAGGTGCTGCCGAGGATTATAATAGTCGAATCGTTCTTGACTTTCTGTAATCTCGCTGAAAAATTACATTTTGATTCCGAGGAAAGACCAAACCACGTACCTCATAATCTCACGCGAGATTAAACCCGCCGAGTTGAGGCTTCGCACCCCTTCGTGGTCACCTTGGAGACTTGCAGAACATCTATTTCCAAAGACTCGTTCATCCAACGAACAGCGAGGCTCTGGAACACATTGCCAAGGGAGGTGTTCCCCGAGGCATATAACCTCCAGAAATTTAAAAAGAACACTAATTCCTACCTTATTTCCCTTGGTTCTCACGATGTTCTCTGAACATTACAGGATATCCCTTTTTGTGGGAGCCAGAACATAAAAAAATTATAAAGGGAAGATTTCATTGTTTGTTTGTTTGTATTGAATAGGCTCCGAAACTACTGGACTGATCTGAAGAATTCTTTTTTTATCAGAAACCTATACATTATCCCTGATGAACATAGACTACTTTTTACCGCGGGGAAATGCTTCATTCGGGGAAACGGAAAATATCAGTTCCAAAGGTATTGACATGATTATTTTTGTTCGAATTCATTCTTCATATATTTTGTTAAAATTTAACATCGATCAGTACACAGTGAACCAAACCCACTACACAGGAATTATATGATTCAATGCGAAAATTGTTACTCATTAATAATAGTATCAGTCGAATTTGCGAATTTTAACAATTGTTCCTCCCTTGGCAGTCCCCGCGAGATTAATCCGTCGAGTTGAGGCTTCGCACCCCTTCGTGGTCACTTTGGTGACTTGCAGAACATCTCTTTCCAAAGACTCGTTCATCCAACGAACAGCGAGGCTCTGGAACACATTGCCAAGGGAGGTGTTCCCAGAGGCATATAACCTCCAGGAATTTAAGAAGAAAACCAATTCCTACCTTATTTCCCTTGGTTCTCACGATGTTCTCTGAACATGATATCCCTTTTCGTGGGAACCAGAGCATAAAAAAAAATTAAAAGAAAAAGAAAGAACAATTAGTCGTTACAATTGATATGGATGATTTCCATTCTGAAATATCCATTTTCTTTCGAATCTATCAAAACCAACCCTGAAGTGTGAGGTTAATGAGTTGCTATATGAAGTTAGCCAATACCATTCTCTGGAAAATTAACAGAATCTGTAAGTATGTCTGTTGTACAGAGTCTGTATCAGTCTGTATCTTACATACCTTTGACATGAATACAGAATAGCAGCATAACGATGGCCCTAATACAACATCGTTTGAATGAATCGTTTGAATGGTTAGGTGTGAGTCGATGGAAATCATAAATTATTATTTTCAATACTTTGAGATAATAATGTATTTATTCGAACAGAGAGGTCTCACAGAGGCAGTTATTCCCATTTTTCCTTTGCCTCGCTGGAACTAGGGGTAGGTACTTGAGCTTGGTGTTTCTGATGAATCAGAATCACTATCGGATAATGTGTCTTCTAAGATAATATGATTAATCACTCCATTTATAATTTCAACGTGAGTAAAGAAGATAATAATAAGAATGATGAAAATAAAAACAAAAACGAAACATCAAAAATCGAAAGATCAAATAATTCGATATTTTAGATGATCTGGGCCCAGTAACATCATCATGGACAGCAAATACCACGAAGTTATTGTTTTGTTATGCTTTTACCGAGAATATTCGCCCTGAGTGAGAAAAATAATAATGTTAATTGAAAACAAGAAGAAGGCTATGTGGGCAGTTATTTATTACTTCAGAGATCTCGAAAAAATTAATTCTTGTATGCTATTCTCACGATTTGTTTCACAGCGCCATGATTGTAGACAAATGATCTACACGATCTCAACTTTCAATGTTCCTCTAAAATCTCAACACTCATCTACACTATCAAATCAGCTGGTTTTCAGTTGTGGTGTAGATTACACTACACTGAAAACAAAGGAACAGAACTATACAGGGTGGCCCTTCAAAAACGAAACAGAGGCTCTGTAGGCAATCTGTAGGTCGCCAAAACCGGATTATCAAAATAATCTGAAACAAGTCAAATACATGTTCGAGGGTGACATCGTTCTAAAATATTTTCAACCCTGCGGCGTTGTCGCTTCTAACGAAAACAAGCAACAACTTTGTTATTTCAAATGGAACAGCTTGTTTCAGTGCATTCCTAGATTTTCCCTGACTGAAGAGCTGATTTCATCAATGCATCACACTTGGGATCTAGCGGCAATGATAAGAGAGCTATAGGGTGCTCAAAATCGATATTTTTCAACTCGTCAGTAGATACTAAATCAAAAGTTTAGATAGGAACATAAAAGCCGTTTCAAAGGGCCACCCTGGTATGAGTTCTGTGTTCACCATCAATCAATCAAGTTCTGTTTTTTTCTTTGTTGTGATTTCCTAACCTAGTAACGTCACTTTTTCCAATGAACTCAATTAAACAACATTAAGTTCATTGCTTTTTTCTGATCCCTCGTTCACTAAACGAAAATAGAACAAAAGTGAATAAATCTTTCGAACCATTCCCGTCACGTGATATGTTCAGATTCGTATTTTTTTTATATATTTTTTCTTAATATGATTGTGGAGGCTGAGTTTGGCCAAGGAGTTTCATTCTGGTCCACTAATAGCATGGCGTCAGCCCACTGTGATCATTTGTGTAATGATTTGGGCTTTCAAGGATGTTTTTCCTTCCTCCCCAGAGTTTTTCTAGGAGCGAATGCGCATGCGTCCATAGTGTATGACGTGCAATGACGGACGTGATACACTGTGGCTAATCTGACAACGAAGTTTGAGATTGGTTCGAAAATTCTAGGCTCTGGTACTAGAACGAAACTAATGGAGTATCATGCTTCTTTGAATGCGCAATATATTATTCATTATAATTTACATCTATAACGAAAAACATGGGTCTATCCTTCAAAGAATACCACTGTTTATACCTAACTCTTAGAGGCACCACCCTCCTTTGTAGAGAAGCATTACGAAAACGTCAAAGTTGATACACTCTCCTCGTGAGGGTACCTGACGTGATTCCATACACTCACAATGTCGACTAATTTTTTGACTGTTTGATTGAATGATCGATAAAAGTAGTTTTTTATGACGAAATGTTCGAAGAAGATAAAAATACGATTTATTGTATTTGAATTGAATAATCATGAAAACTCATCTTGGACATCTCCATATTCCATTAATCTGTCTGACAGATGTTGAGCTCCTAAATGAATTGTCCTGAACGATTATAGAGCTAGCTATCTTGTGAGTACATGATCTCAAATGATGAGATATCTGCCATAGTTCACATTGCTTCTGGAATATCCTCCTCAAATTGGGCAATATATAATTCATTATAATTTACATCTATGGTTGGAAACATGGATCTATCCTTCAGAGAGCATAGTTTCATTGAAACAAACGACTGTTGCTTTCCTAAAGTGCACAAATAATTTGGGAAAAAACTGGTATATAACCACTGTTAATTATACCTAACTCTTCGAGACGACACCCTCCTTTGTATAGAGGCATAACGAACGCCAAAGTTGATACACTCCACTCGTAAGGGTACCTGACGTGATTCCATACACTCGATTAATTTTTCGACTGTTGATTTGGATGATCGATAATTGTCGAAAAAGAATGAAAATACGATCTGCATTTGAATTTGATGTTCATGAAAACTTATCTTGGACATCTCCATATTCCATCAATCTGCCTGACAG